ATATATATATATTAGACAACTGCTATATCTATGGAGTCGCACCTAACTAGTAGGTTTTATGTATATTGAATAATAATATGAATGAATAATGGAGGGGCAGCACTGTGGCGCAACTGGTAGAGCTGCTGCCTCTCAGCGAGCAGGTCCCTGGTTCAAACCCCGGTCCAGGGGCCTTTCTGGGTGGAGTTTGCATGTTCTCTCCGTGCATGCGTGGGTTTTCTCCGGGTGATCCAGTTTCCTCCCACAGACCAAAAACATGCATGTTAGGCTGATTGGTAACTCTAAATTGTCCCTAGTGTGAGTGAGAGAGTGAATGGTTGTTTGCCTCGTTTGTCTCTATGTGGCCCTGTGATGGACTTGCGACCCGTCCAGGGTGTACCCCGCCCCTCCCACAGTGATTGCTGGACATGGGCACCAGCGACCCCCGTGACCCAAAATGGAATAAGCGGGTAAAGATACTGGATGGATGGATGGATGGATGAATAATGGAGGTCCCATTTTTCCGTCAGAAAATGTATTTTTGCAAATTGTTTTATATACTTTTAGAAATGGTTATTTCCAGTTATTAAAGCTACAACTGAAGCTACTTTTTATTGTTGTAATCAGCTGCTACAATATTATTATTGAACAGTAATTAGCTGAAATTGATATTATTTAAGGGTCCACAAGACGTTTTAGTTGTTGAAAAATTAAATGCTATTTATTAGGAGGGGAGATAAAGTTCTAGAGGCCAAACTGAGATGGTTTGGACATGTCCAGAGGAGAGACAGTGGGTATACTGGTAGAAGGATGTTAGAAATGCAGCTGCCAGGAAAAAGACAAAGAGGAGATATATGGATGCAGTTAGAGAGGACATGGAGGTAGTTGGAGTGAGGACAGAGGACACAGGACAGAGTGAGATGGAGGAGGATGACTCACTGTAGAGACCCCTGAAGAGGGAAAAGCTAAAAGAAGTGAGTTTTTAGGCAACTCATAATTTGATTCAACTTTGATTCAATGGTAAAACCATTATTGACACATTGTACCCATTTTGTTGCATGGTCCCAATCACACCCTGGTAGTTTTAAAGCAAAGTATATACTTGTACTGAAGTAAAGTCGAACCAGCGACTTCTTGATCACAGGCACACCTTCTCTAACTTGTCACTCCGCCTGGTAATTAAAAGGTAATTAACTTGGTAATTATCTTTAAGTACTTAATGTCTTGCTCAACCATCTTGTAAATTTGTCTGTATGTGCAGACCGTACTGTTCCACCTCTGCACTTTCACACTTCTGAGTTGCACCTTTTGTTTCCCTTGACATTGCATGATTAATTATCATGAACAAAATAGATTTTTTCACATTTATCAGTTCAATATCTTCCATGTCTGTAATGCATCTAAAATGGATTTTATGCCCGCCACTGCAGTTCATGCAATTTTATCTTGTGTTAATCAATCAAAGTGATCTCTGTTTAAAAACCAGTTTAACCACATTAAAAGTGACAGCTACCATATACACTATCTGAAGATGATTTTTAAATCCTCTGTAAAGTGACTCAAAATTCAGTGCTGGTCGCAGCATGATTCTAAGCAGCCAGCCTCATCAAGTCCTCACTAAAAGCTGCACGTCGTCCAAGGCTCAAGCTTTCCAGGCAAATCTGTAGAAGAGTAACCCGACACCCTCCTCGCCCTCATTCTTAATTTTTGCGAGGAGGCCTCTTGGATTAAAAGCAGAAACACCCCTCTTCATTGGTCACATGGACCCCTGGGGCCTCGGGGCTGTTGCTATGGAAAAGAGTCCGTCTTTGGATGGGGAGGGGGCTCGCCATAATGACATAGCTCTTCTAGTGATGAGGATCTGGAGGGATGCAGAGACACTGAAACGTTAGGTTACATTAAATGTTTTTTTTGAAGAGTGGAAATCTTCTATGATCCACTGAAAGAGGCTTACAGATGTTTTGATAACCACATGTTCAGACGTAGATGCAGTTTAATGCTGGTATTAATGTTTTGTGGAAGATGAGCAAGAACCCATTAGATCTGATTATAAATGTGTTGCACAATAATAACAATAAATACACAAATAAATTAAATAGATGAAATAATTGGGTATTTTTGTAGAATGTTTTAAAGTTACTTTCTTTGATGCAGCTTTATGAGTGACTTGTTATTTTTGTATTTTTCCTTTTTTCAGGTAAATTTGAGGAGAAGGAGGACCGGGTCCCCAAGCTGGAGCAGCTGAACTCCCTTGGTTTTATGTGCAGCCTGAATCTCGTCCTCAACAAGAAGGATCTGATCAAAATGGAGCTTCTGTTGTTGGAGACTTTCAGCTGGAATCTGTGCATGCCCACACCCGCCCACTTTATCGACTACTACCTCCACGCTGCAGTGCAGGAGGGCGACCTCTACAACGGCTGGCCCCTGTCCTCCATCTCCAAGACCAAGTCCTTCATGGACAAATACACTCACTACTTCCTGGAGGTCTCCTTACAGGGTGTGTTTAAAGAGAAGACAGTTTATTGTTGGAAAGTAAAACATGTTTGACTGAAATCAATGAACTATTTTTTTTTCTTCTTGCAGATCACGCCTTCCTCAATTTCAGACCGTCCCAGGTTGCTGCTGCGTGCGTGGCAGCATCTCGTATTTGCCTTCAGATTTCCCCAAGCTGGACGACGGCTCTGCATCTGCTAACCGGGTACTCGTGGGACCACCTCACCCAGTGCATCGAACTCATGCTGCTGTAAGTCACACCAACAAACACACTCAAGCCAAGGAGAAAAGGAAAAGCGCAAGAGTTGCAGATAATCCTTTTAAAGTGTGAGGCCAGGTCAACCTTGGTTTTTATTCAGCCATTTTTACTGTTGCTGTAACTAGAAGCTTGTGCGTATCATCTTACAGGGGTAGCTGATAGCCTTGGATTTGTGTAATTTAACCATAGTTAGGTTGTAACATTAGTGCTGAGTCAGTTGCAACATGTGCGATTAGTGTAATTGCTTGCACATGTTCAGATTAATAATGTGAAAGTCGCAGGGTTTGTACAGAGGAATCTTTGCTTCTGTTAATGGTTTTATTAGCTGCCTTTTTGTGGATTAATTGCTTTAAATGTGCATGTTTTTTCTTGTCTCTCCACATAAAAATGATTTTAGCTGTGATTCATAAATGCCTTGCGTGTCTGACTCACTGGCTCTTTTTGTTGTGTTAATGACAGAGCTCATGACAACGACGTGAAAGAGGCCAATAAAACCAAATCCACCCCTCCTCACCGGCCTGCCTCTCTGCAGTCCCAGACTTCTCACCTCTCCCCAGTGTCAGCTATCCAGACACCAGCCTCCTCCAGCTCCTCCTCCACACCACAGTTGCTCTTTCAGCCAGATGGTTTCCCACACCTTTCTCAGCATTCCCCATCCTTGTCTCAGCTGCAAGCACTAGCCGACTCCCAGGCTTTGGGTCCAGTAGTGAGCATGTCTCAGGATTTCCTCCAGAGCCACCGCATGGGGCTGCTAACTGGGGCTGCTTCCATCACTCCTGGAGGAGTGTTCCCCTCTTACTCGAGTCTAACCTCAGGTCTTCAGCCAGGAGCCCGCGCTTTGCCTCTCCAGGGCCCCATCTCTGTGCAGATGGCCCTCGCTGGAGAACCGCGCCACTGTCTGAGTATGGCCTACAGCGGGGGCTACTTGGGCGCACACCACACATTTACAGCCGGCTGCTTTGACAGGTGACGCCAGGAGACGGAGAGGGAACACAAACCCCCACGGGAGTCCACTTCACTTCTTCCCACCCAACTCCCTGCCCAGAAACATCCACTAACGGACCTCTTCTCTCTCTCCGTCGGCACTGCAACACCTTCAGCTCGTCCAGCTCCCCCGCCCCTCTCACAGAGACGCCTCAAACGTAAGCAGAGGTCCAAAGGCAGAACAGACCACGTGGAAGTCATCACACTGACGTGACGAATGCTTCTCTGCCTCATATTCCATTCGGAGGCACGTAGACATTTTATTTCCTGCCGTATACTGAACGGACTTTATCAAACTGTTATTATGAGACTGTCATCACTGTGAATGAGATGAAAGCAGCAGTGTGGTTGTACACCCACCTCATTCAGTGCCTGTTCTCAGTTGTGCGTGATAGTTGAGACAATTTTAGAAGTGCACAGAACACAAAGTATCTGTGCCAAGCGTTGCTGCTTGACGTTCGTTTCTCTTCGTATCCAATCCCCAAAAATATAACGCATTTCATGGAAAATTGGGCTGATTATATTTTCTTTATGCAAGCCACGGTTTGACTAAAGATGGAACAAACGCTTAATCTATAGAGCGCAAAGAGGCTGTGCATGTCGGCAAACATTTGATGTAATGAGCAGAAAGGCTCCTCTGGGAGTTCCTCAGCACACAGGAGCTCAGAGGAGACCAAGGTTTCATTGTTTCGTGCACAGCAGGTGAAGTCCACGGCTCGGAACAGGCCTGCAGTGTTCAGCTTAGTTTTTTATCCCCAAAGTCGAGCCTTGTGGGAGAGCCTTCACTCAAACCGGTAAAAAAAAAAAAAAAAAAAAAAAGTGCTTCTCCCGCACGCTCTTCATACTAAAGTTTTAATTTCTCCTGCACCGCTCAAAGAGTTGAACACCGACCGATGTGTGGACCAGCACGGTGAAGGAGAAACGGATGTACCGGTGTTGTAAATACAAATTGCTGCTGCCTTTAAAAGAAAAAGAAAAGCTGGTTCTGTGTCTGTGATGCCTCCCAATGTTTACATGAACCACTATCAGGGACTTGAGCAAGATTACTTGAATATGATGCCATTGAAACATGCCATAGCTTTTATTTATGACTTTTATTTTCTTACTATTTTGTTTGATGTAGTGTAGATTTTTAAACTTAGCGACCCAACAATTAATTAATTAATTAATTAAGTGTAAGTGTAGTTATATATTTTTTGTACCTGTTCATAAAAACTGTATATTCAGGCTCAGGTCTAAAGGCTGAAACTATCTGCCTTCTCATTGTTTTGTGCTTTAAAACGGATGTTAATGCGTCCCTGGACCGTTGTGTGTACAGCTCTGCTGCTGAAGCCTCAGCTCTACATGAGGGAACAAACGCGTGGTGGCTAGTTTCACATTCAAACATCTGCAGCCAGTCATCTGTAATTGCTTCCTAAATTTCTAAAGCTGCGATCCCCAATCTGCCACTTCCTGTTCGAGCGTAAACACATCCAGATTCCCAGTGCTGATCGCAGAGGTTGCCTACTGGTCATGATGGGGGGTACTTTGATAGTTTATGGACCTCAAGATTCAATTTAGGCCTAAAATAATAAACTATTCCTTAATGCACCAAAAACATCAATAAACTGATGGATGTAGTTAAAGTTTTTAAATAATTTTATTTAAAAACTGTTCAGAGTTTCCCTCTCAAATGATAAACGCTTGTGTTGCTTGTGTCAGATGTTAAAACGAGCTTAAGCTCTTCGTTTAGATTTGTCTGAAGAAAATACAGATTTAGAAAAACTGGTGTCAAGTTGTCAATAATTCAAACAGCCTGCAGATTAAACGTTCAGTTTTTAAGTTTTAATGCGCTCTTGTGTGTCGCCGGACCGTGTTTGTGTCCTGATCTCACAAGATTTCATGGTTTGCATGTGAAACTGGAACAGCTCAGACATTCTGAAAGTTAAGTTTTGTGGAGAGGTTATTAATAGTTAATGCTTTACCTGTTTGTAGATGGAATTGAACTCTGTTTAGAGAAAGTTTGAGCAGAGTTAAGACAAAACAACAACTTGACTCTCATTATTTTAACATCAGTGCGTGATCATTTAGGGTTATTTACGAGCATTATTAGTTGCAGCAGCTAGCTGCAGGACTTCTTGTGCACCCTGGGCCCTTCCTGCAGGAATATTATAACGTTTTGGATGTAATTACCATATAATGCAGGATTAATGTTGATATATAAGGATCAATTTAAAAAACAAAAAGTGCACACGAACCACAATTTTTTTTTTTAAGACAACAAAAATCCACTTTGGTCTCTTGACTAGCCGTTAGCTCGTCAGTCTGCTCAGAATGAAGCAATTTCTTCAACCTGAGATCTGTTAAAGAGCTGTCTACAACAGGTAAGATATTAACTGTTCATAACTCTTCTGTAGAACCCCCTTTCTAAAGGTCTGAGTTTTGTAGAACCCTCTCTCTGACGCCACATGAATCCTCCAGAAATCTGCAGCTCTAAAAAAAGTTTGAACAGGTATTTTTTTTAAAGGTTTTTCTAACTTTGTGTACACTTCTGTTAAAATGTCTGCATTCCGTTTGGACGAGTTATGTTTTAGTTCATTTATGAATTCTGTTTTTGTAAGTTTTCATTCCCCCCCCCCCCTCATCATTCACGTGCAACTTCAGATTGAGGTGTCAAAGGTGCAATAAGATCTTTTTATTTTAATTTGTCTCTTTATACTGACCACAACCATCACTGTCTCGTGTGTACCACTGGTTCAACTTTGTTTTTTATAACTTATTTTTAATAATTGTGTTATTTGACTCGATTTTCTCTATAGAGGGCAGTCGGCTCTGAAAACGGTGATTATGGTGCATATTGCAGCCACAAGCTATGAGTGATAGATATTACTGAATGATTTTGATTTAGGTTGACTCTGTTTTTCCTGATGGTGAAAAGGTGCTGATGACACTCACCCAATTTTTGTTTTTAAAAGTGATGACACCACAAACTTCCACTTTTATTTCACTTTTTAAAATTCTTTTGTAACATGTAGTCTTGATTTATATGACACTGAATGATAAATTGTTTTTATCGTATAGTGCCATGGAAGAATAAAAACACAAGTGAGATGAGTTTCCAAGATGTTTTTTTTTAAACTATTGCAGCTTTTAGAGAGAGACTCTTTCCTCTGCAGTGCTTCTGTTTTACAGGAAGTCAATAAAGCTGCAGGTTTTATGCGCAGGCCTCCAGTTGTGACCACATGCTGTGAGAATGCAACACACTGTTCACTAAACCCAACTATTAAATGTAAGTAAACACGTTTATTTAATTCCTCCTATTTTGATGGCATTTGAGCTGTTTTTCTTTGCTTACATTTGAGAAAAAGGCAAGATATTTTAGATCTTAACTTACAGCCTGCTTTTCTGATCCTATGTTAGGTTTAAAGTTAAACTATGTCTTTGTTTAGATTTCTCCTTCAAGCGTTGAATGCAGGAAATACTGCGTTTTTCTTTCTAGATATAGATCGTCGTTAAAAACAAGTGTTGCTGCTCAGAGGGATTGAACACTTTTCAACTATTGACTAAAGTCCACTTTGTTTTGACAAAATTGTAGTTGGAATATTTTGAACTATGGTTCAGCAGACAGATCATAAACAGCATCTTACCTGTTACAGATGTGTTTTGGAAGAAATGGGGATTATGTCTGACCAGCTAACGTTTGTTTCCAAAGTGAATTGCTGCACTCTTGAAACAGCTCCAATCTAAAAGTATGACTTCCATCCATCCATCCATTACCTTTTACCCGCTTCTTCCATTTTGGGTCACGGGGGTCGCCAGTGCCCATGTCCAGCAATCACTGTGCGAGAGGTGGGGTACTCACTGGGCAGGGATCCAGTCCATCACAGGGACACAGGCGAATGAGACAAACAACCATTTACATTCTCACTCACACCTAGGGACAATTTAGAGTTCCCAATCATGCATGTTTTTGGTCTGTGGGAGAAAACCCACACATGTATGGAGAGAACATGCAAGTTCCACACAGAAAGGTCCCCAGCCAGGATTTGATCCGGCAACCTTCTCTCTAAAAGACAACAGCTCTACCAACTGAGTCACCGTGCCACCTTTTATTTGAAGTCCAATTAAAAAACGTATACAGTGCCATCAGTTTTACACTACATGTTTTTATACTAAGAATTCTGCAGACATGTGCAAGTGCAGATAGCAGCAGCTAGCTGTAGCACTTCCAGGGCTGGTTGGGGTACTTTCTGCAAGGAAATCAACATATTTTAGCTGAAATAAGCCTGCAGTGCAAAACTGACAAAGGTTTAATGGAGCATTTGTACGAACCACTATATATTTTTTAATTAATTTGTTTTGGCAGTCCTTTTACCGTAGGTCTTGGACCCACTCAGACTTGATGCTGACATCAAAAGACTGGTCATTTCACCATAATGTCAGGTATTTGCCATGTTTCTGCATACAGCTACATGCAGTTAGCAAAGTGTTCATGCTCAAGTTGGTTGTGGATATTATTTTTAGGAAAGCTCTAAGACAAGATGGAGATTTCAGAGGCACATTTGATTAGTAGCCAGATTAAGGCAACGGTGTGACCTACTGTCAAAAAGGCTATCTTTGTTAGATGGGCTATAGAAAAAGATGTGTCCCCCTAGGTGACAGGAGGGTGCACCCCACACAAAATCTCAGGAGTGGTAGACAGAAAAATGCAGTATTTATTATACAGGTAGAGCCCGACCCGATTATTTTGCTGATTTGATGTGGGGGAAATGTTCCACTTTTATCATGGATCATTCAACGTCACAAACATTCACAGGAAGCTGTCCCAACACTACTTTAGAACAATCACTTTAACTGTGAAACAAAGAAACAAATAATCCTGGGTGGGATATTAAACCCACGAGTCAGACTACCAAACTTCTCGTGCTTCTTGTTAAACAGTGCTGAAGAAATCCAGACACTGCTCCTGCAAGACGCCTCTGCAGCTCCGTCAGAGCTTTCTGTGTTGGAGTGCATTTGTCCTGTTCAGCCGTGGGACATCTCTAACACTTTAAGACATTATGCTCTGGTATAATGGTGGCCTGACACCCCCCTTCTACACCCCCTCCTCATGTTGGACACAGAATGAACCCACAGAAACAGCTGAGCTGTGGCTTTGTTTCTTTCAGAACAGCAGAATATTTAGTGATTCTGCCCCACAGGCTACTGTATTCATTCAACCTTTATTTATACAGTTATTCTCACTGAGTCACAATGTCTTTTTACAGTGAACAAAGACAAAGGGACAACAATTTGGTTCTGCTCAATGGTTAGTAAGTTGCATCCTTTTTGGCAATTATCACATTTAGCTACTTCTAGCTCTTAGCTTTAGCTAGCCTTTTGCTATTCTTAGCACTTAGCTAGCATTTTACCACCTTTAATATGTAGTTCTTTTGTTACTAGCTAGCCTTTTGCCTCTAGCTAGGCTTTTGCTATTTTTAGCTTTTAGCTATCATTTTTGCTACTTTCAACGCTAGTCTGCTTTTTGTTACTTGAAGGCTTCTGCAACTTTACATTTTGGATATTTTGCTACTTTTGGTTAGCATTTTACTACTTTTAGTTATTCTTTTTCCAGCTTCTAGCTAACCTTTTGCTACTTCAGCTTCTAACTAGCCTTTTGAAACTTTTAGCAAGATTTTAGCTGTTTTTGTTTACATTTTAGCTATAACTTTGCCACTTTTAACAAATAGTTCACTTTTAGTTACTTTACGACTTTTGCAACATTATGTTTTAGGTAACGTTTTGCTACCTTTAGCCAGCTTTTAGTGCTTTACTGCTTTTAGCTAGCATTTAGCTACTTTAGGCTTTCAGTTAACATGATACTTTTTTACTTTTAGCCTTTTCCTGCTTTTAGCTTCTAGCTCGGGGCTATTGAACTAATTGCTCAGGGGGGCACAGTTACTGGAAGCCAATAGCTCAGGGGCCATACGTCCATATTGTCATTAAGTAAGTTTGTTTTATGGTTTTAAAATCTAGTTTTATTTAAAAATTAACCCAATGGTGGGCTGAACTGAGCCACCAGTTGAATAGCCCTGTTCTAGCTAATCTTTTTCTACTTGAGCTTCTAACAAACTTGCCTTAATGGTAGTTTCAGCTAGACTTTTTTGCTTTTTTAACTTTTAGCTAGCATTTAGCTACTTTAGGCTTTCAGTTAGTGTGATACTTTTTTTACTTTTAGCCTTTTCTTGCTTTTAGCTTCTAACTAGTCTTTTTCTACTTGAGCTTCTAACAAACATATAGCCTATAGTTTCAGCTAGACTTACTTTTTAACATTTAGCCACTTTTTAGGCTTTCAGTTAGCATGATACATTTTTACTTTTAGCATTTTCTTGCTTTTAGTTTATGAATAGTCTTTTTCTACTTGAGCTTCTAACAAACTAGCCTTAATGATAGTTTCAGCTAGACTTTTGCTTTTTAATGTTGATCTAGCATTTTGCTACTTTAAACAATTAGTAAGCCTTTTGTTACTTTAAGGCTTTTGCTAATTTACATTTGAGTTAATGATTCATTGCTATTAGCTAGCATTTTTACTACTGTACTTGTAGTGTTTTGCTACTTTGAACTTAGTAAGACTTTTGCTACTTTTAGCTAGCATTTAGCTATTTTAGGCTTCAGTTAGCATGATGCCTAAAAAGTTTGTTTGTTCTTCCTGCAAAAATCTTTAAACCTGTGCAGGTCTGTGGTGAGATCTGTCTGACAGATTTCTCAGAGATGTTTATAATACAGGGATGCACCAATTTATTTATTTGTTTAACAAACCGGTCCCTCTGGAGCATGAGACCCCCGATCTTAACAAGATTACCCATACGATTTTCATTCAGAAGAAAATAAAGTTATTTCTCCATTTTTATTTGAGCAGTTTGGAGTAAAACAACTCGAACAGCATCGGCAGTGATTTTTCTGTGTCTGTTGGAGACAAAACGCCACCCTCCATATCTCTGTGCCTGCATGTTTGCATGTCTCGGTATGTCACTTTACTGAGAACATCCGAGACCTTAGCATGCACACCTCTGATCACATCAGCATGAGCTCATCTGATTAGGATCTGAAGTAAGAAAATCCTGAGAAGACTGAGGGGCATTTCTCCAGATGCTGTGTTCGGTGGATGGAGGTGCCGACAGAGCCGAGTGTTTGTGCTTCAGGCCAACCTGCTGTAAAGTGAGAGATAAAGAGGAAGGCTGCTGGCTTCCTTTCAATGTCTCCTCCAGCAAGAAACAAAACATTTTGAGGTAGAGCAGGATCTACTCATTTTACAGGTAGGGTTTGCCTAAAAAGAACAATGCAGCCTTCATTGTTTCAAAACTTGTACCGAAAAGTATTTAGTGAACTAAAATAATCCATATAATAAAGACTTCAGGGTGAAAGTGGAAGATGCTGTTTGTCAGGTTATATTGGCATTTTATATCTAATTAATTCCTTTGTAAGTTGTAATCTGAATGAATGTTAGAAATGCATATTGCAATGTCATAAAATCTAAAAAACATCCATAAAGTAAGAACTTATTCACTGATGATGGAGAAGTTAACAACTTGGATGGCTCTATATACAGTTTTATGCTGATTTGTTGAGTAAAGTATGCAGATAAAATGATAGATTAGGGCTAAATGTTTTACAAACGCTGCATGTTTGAATGCTGAGCTGCTCCACTCTGTTCTTGACTTCTTGTCTTGTTCTCTTTTCTTTTGCGTTTAGCAGCTGATTTATTCATGTTTTCCCACCTAAACATCTTCTTCTCAGCCAGCCTTATGTGGATCAATCACGTGACTCAAGCGTCCACGTGGCTTCAAATCGCACCCCTCGGTTCAGGATAACTTTTTCATGTTACATTTCATACTTTACAAAGAGTACCTTTATTTGTTTTAAAGATTTATGAAATGTACCTTTAAAAAAATGTCCAGATTTGTGGTGTGAAAACGACACAAACAAACAAACCCACCGAGAATTGGTTTCCCTCTTTGTTCCGAGGCCTTAAATTAAATTTAAATGAATCCCCCAAAGTCTGTCTCTCTACCAAGAGAACCAAACGAGCAGCTCAGTGGAGAACAAGAAGCGTTTTGTTACTTTTCAAAGATGTACCAGTGTTTAGGGGAAAAAAAACTCTGTATATTCCTTGAAATTATTATTTATTTTACTTTTAACAAGTGGACTCACTATATCCCCACACCAAGACCACAGTAGAGCACGGTGGTGGTAACATCATGCTGTGATGATGTTTGTTGTAAAAACGACCTAGAAAAATAGTCAGAATTTTGAATGATGACGGTTCTAAACAAAAACACATGAAAATGTATACTATTTTTTAAATAACCATTTTTGATTTGAATCTGTTCGTCATGAGGTCCTGGGTTTTGTGTTTCTGATGGACGTGAGCGTAAATGTTGATTTTGCAGGTTTGATGATGTCTGGAGCGGTGCAACACAAGTTCTACGATTGTTACACAAAGAAACAACAAACAAACAAGCAAAACATGTTCAAACATGTAGTCCATATTGTGAGCCAAGTCTTCCTTCTGTGTTTCTCTAACTCTTTGTCTAACTTTAAAGAAGCTTAGCAAACCTCTGCTCCCTCGCTTTTATATCACGACATTTAAAACATACATCTTATTTATGAGGTTGGTTTTGAGTCAAACATTTGCAGTAATTTTCTGTTTTTGAATAAACACTTTAATGCAGCAAATTGTTTTGTGGAAAAACACTGGCGCCCCCTAGCGGCAACAGTGTGAAGGTGCACTTCTCGTGCCCAAAACATTTTAATTATCTTAAAATTTGTGTTTAGAAACAAATTTCAGTTCTTCAAACGCAGTAGTTTCAGTTCTCAGTCCTTCTTATAGGCTTTGATCTCAAATGTAGACCAGCTGGCAGCAATTCTGGATTTTTTTCACACATGAAACTAAAGAGACTTTAGTGGATGGAAGGATAAGAGTTTTGATATTAATAAGTATCGTTTGTTTATTTATTTACTTTTTACAAATGTTTGAGATCATGCAGTGATTTCAGGTTTACACATAAACAGTACAGTTCTATTTTTTTCTTTTCTCTTATGTGCTGATTTCTCTGAGATAAAAAAAGATGTAATGATGCAATTCACTGAACTTTTTACTTCTACATGAAGACACACTGCACCCCCACTGTCAGTATGCTTTAAACCAGTTTTCATCTCTTTTTCTGTCTTTTATCCGACCAAATGACCGGACAGACACCGGTAAAATACATAACCGAGAAGTTGTTTTAGAGATTGAGCAACAGTTCAGACAGCAGCGCAGTCTTTCTGCACACTCGAGTTCTCAACTAAGACGTTGAATATTTTTCTCTGCAGACACTCATTTGACATCCTTTCTTATTTGCTTCCTTGCAAAAGTCTGCAGCATATAAACAGGAGATTACTGGAGTTCAGAGTAACATTTATGTATGTATTCAAGGGCAGCTTTTGGAAAAAACATTTGAAAGTAATAACGAAACAAAGAATCCTGCTGACCTGTTTAAAATCTGAATCAAACACATTTCAGCTGTGACCCCTCTGCACACTGTTCTCTCATTTTGCAAAAAGAGGAAGTGAACATGTCAAATTAGTATGAAATATTGAAAAAATAGGGATTTGGTGTGGTAGTAGCTGAGAATCAATCACAACACATACATAAATTACAACAAATTATTATAACATAATGCACAAGGTTTGACCAGAGTGCCTTAACTCCATCTCTTCTCATCATTAGTTTAAAACATTTGTCATGAATCAGGAGGATATATACAGATATCAAAGCATGCTAATCATTTCATTTTAATTGATTTATTTTTTTTAATTCAAACTTTAGGGGTTTTTGTTCATCACAACCAAGAACCCTGACAAATTAACAAGTCATATTTTGAGCATACTTGTTTTATTCATGTAAACTCAGAGAACTGAATCAGTACTTCTGTCCAAACGACACATTTCATGAAATTAAACTCGGGCAAACACAATAAAAATCACAAACACAGTTTGAGTATGTTCAGCCTGGCTAAACAAACTAAATGTGGCTGAATTGAGTTGGATCAGTCCTTAAATCCAGAACAGCCGTCAAACGTTGCGTAACTTCATTTCTGCACAGTCACACCCAAAACTAACAATCTAATTCAGTGTTGCGTTACAAAAAGCCTTTTCCATTTTCACTTCAAATTGGATTTATTTATTTTTTCCTGTTGGGTCTTGTAGTTTTAAATCCTCTTGAAAACCCTCTTGAAAGTCACGCCCTTTTCCCCCGGAGTTACGCAAGTCTGCGTAAAAAGAGAAGCAAATCTGGGATCATTTGACAAAACCACAACTCTTGCTGATCGCAGGCTCATCTGCTGGAAGAAAGGATTCATTCTCTCACCATTACGAGCTTGTCATCGACCATTTCTGCGGTGAAGTGGTACTCTGGGAACTGGAGTAAAACCTTCCCGTCTTCCTTAGTTACTACAGCCTGCAAAAAGCCAAAGATCACGAAAGGAAGGAGCAAAACGATCGTTTTCTGTTGCAAACTGGGTCGAACTCACCTTGAATTTCTGGCCTTTCATTGACACCAGCTCACTTTCCTGACCAATGGTGAACTCACTAGTCCAGGTCCAGTTGGGGATGGACTGAGTCCAGGTGAAGTGGTCCCCATCCTGAATCACCTCAGTCACCACTTTGTGGTCCGTCTTGGCCTTGAGGAAATCTGTGAACGGCACAAAGCTTCCAGCTCAAACAGTTCAACAACATTTAGGTAAATTAGAAAAAAATCCAAACGTGAGAACGTTAAAATTCCTCATACCGATTGCTTCCAGAAATTCCTCATAGTTGTCTTGACTCTCCAGCTCATATTTCCCAGCGAATGACATGATGAGAAGAAGGAAGAGATGACAAGAGGAAGGCGTTTATGAGCTTGGAGAGGAGTGGCAGGAACGTCAGGGTCTGCCTCTTCCTCTCCTCTACCTCGTCATGTGACTCCCACACATGTGACTTTTGTTTTCAAGACCGAACTGTCCCATCATTTCACACTGAAGCTGGTCCACACTCCTGCTAAAATCAGGTTTTTCAAGCAGCCCTGACATGTGACCGAGACTCGGCCTGCACGTCTGAGCTCGAGTGAGGTCGGCACATGTCAAATCAGTCTGTCAGCATACTTTGTACTTTAACAGATGCCTGCACGCTTTCTTTACTCCTGCAAGTTAGTTTGTAGCCGCAGGTGTTCTTACATGAGCAATGCCACAAAAATGCATAAAAATATTTAAAACTACTTTAAGTTTCTGTGGCACAAATTCAACAAGACGATGGAGACATTCTTTGGAGCTTGTGGTCCACATTGACATGATAGCTTCATGTTGTTGCTGCTGATTTGTCGGCTGCACATCCATGATGTGTCTCCCAGTCCATCACATCCCAGGAGTGAGCGATTGGCTTGAGATCTGGTGACAGTAGAGGTCACTGGAGTTCAGTGAATACAGATTCATCAGAGTGGGCAGGGTTTTTCTGAGCTCTTATTGTCCAAAGTGAGCCTGTGCAAACTGTAGCTTTAGTTTCCAGTTCTTAGCTGACAGGAGTGGCACCAGGTGCTGCAGCTCAGACGCTTCAAAGTTGGATGTTTGTTCAGAGCAGTGAGGAATCTTCAGGGCCTTCTGCGCCTTCAGAGAAGGCCTTAGAATTCAGCACATATGAAGTGGTGCATTGAATTAAAAAAAAAAAAAAATGTATATACATTTAGGTTTTTTGTTATTTTCTCTCATTTTCTGTAAACTACTTTGTGGGTGAGCAAAAAAACTTTTAAATTAACATACTGTACTTTTTGCTGTATCCTTTTTGCATAAATTAGCATGCCCTGCGACTTATATGGCGAATCGACTTCTTTGTTTTTTTTCCCATATTTATAACCAATTTTTGGCTGAGATCTGATTTCATTCATACTGACATGGAAAATATTGAACACTACCATTTTCAGCCACTAGAGGGTGCTCAAATAGTATGGCAAGCCAAGTGTCTCATTAATAGGTAAGTGTGGCTATTAGGGGAGTGGTGGCGCAGAGGTTAGATAAGATGGGCCTGTGATCGGAGAGTCGCAGGTTCAACTCCCGGTATCATCAACATCAAAATGTGGTGGAAAAGGTGAAACACCCACACCTGCCTCCAACCTCATTTGCCCCACTCTGGACCCCTGAGCAAGGCCCTTAAGCCCCACCATTTGCTCCCCAAAACAGGTCTTTCATAAAGGGTAAATGAAAAAAAAAAAAAAAAAAGAGTCACTTGGCTTTCCATACAGAGCCACCTTCGTCTCGCTCCAGAACTCCTGGAGCAAATGTCAAATCAGCTGCATTTCACTGTACTGCCCAGGCGAAATGCAGCTGATTTGACCATTAAAGTGCATTTATTAAGGAAAAGTTAAACTGAGACACACCTCTGCTATAATGCAGAGCAAGCAAATAATTGTTTTTAAGTATTAATCGTGTTAAATTCTTGTTAAAGTCTTCCCGTGAACGCTCCCGCAGCCGCCATTTTGCAGCCAATCGATTTTTGGCACAACATCGGACCATGTTTCCTGGTGGTCAGTGGTGACACATAAACTCGACGCGTCAGCGGTGACGCATAATACATGAGAGGTATATGACGAAGCAACATATTTTTGTTTTTTTCCACTTTATGAGACATTTTTGGACTGATGCGACTTATACGGTGGTGCAACATGTATGGCGGAAAGTACGGTAGTTACCTAATCAGATTCTTTTGAATTTTTTGTCTCCAAGAAGACGCCAAGAAGAAGATTCTTTCCCATTGGTTAAGACATCACTGTCAGGAGGGAAGGCTAACAGTCAAAAATTCTCAAGGATGAGTTTTTTCATAACTGACGCAAAAATCAATCAATAAAATTGTTGAGGTGGAGTAGGTGGGACAAAGACACGTGACTCAGCCTTCTGGAAGGCCTTGCATGTTTGTATTTTGATCATATGAAGATACGTGATGCATTCAGTTGCAATCTGTCAATTTAAACATCTTTAATGGAATTGCAGTTGTTCTAAAAAAAAAGAAGGTTAAATATCACATTTAGGTTTATATACATAGTTTTTTATATTACAGCTGTATTTTGGTTTCATTACGTTGTAAAATTTTACACAAGCAGTAAATTCTGTAGGTTTCAGTTAAATGTCATTCTGAGTTATTGAAATTACATGTTGCGCTTGAATGCAAGATGTGTGAGAGCAGAGCTTTCTGAGACTTCATCTTGGGACAAATGTGGGTGGACTTTTTCAGGTTACGTGTTCGGATGACTTGTCCCTGTTGGATTTTTTTAGTGTTGGGTTTGCAGTTGTGTTCATGTTGTTAGTGACTGTAAAAAAATGGCACCATAAGTCATGTCAGCTTATGGATGATGTACCTGACATATAAAATTGGGGATAGCTCTTCCTGAAGGGGGAGTTTCTCGATTCTGAAACTGAAAGTAACTCGTAGATCACTACTCCATATTGTCTCAAAAGGCAGCTTGTTATGGGTTGTTACAATATTACTTCCTGACTAAAGGCCCAGCGCTTATAGTCATGGTTCGGCACAGGTTCAGAGACTGGATTTCTGCAGACCTTTGTAACAAGTGCTTATTTGAGCTGCTCTTGCTTTTTAAAAAAATCTCAAACCAATTTGACAGTTCTCCTCTGACCTCTGACATTACCACAACATTTTTTGTCCACACAAATGCCACTCACCGGAAATCTTTTAGAAAAATTCCCTATATACTGTATATCCTAAAAATCCCACAGAATCAGCATTTTCTGAAATACTTAGACCAGTCTGTCTGGTAACAAGAACCACGCCACGTTCAAAGCAACTTAAATCCCATGTTTTCCCCGTCTGAACGTCAGCAAGTCATCTTCACTGCATCTAAATGCCTGACGTCATTGAGCTGCTGCCACGTGATTGGTTGATGACTAGTCCTACTAGTCCTCTAAACTTTGCATACAGTTCAATAAAGATTAGTTTTATTTTTGTTATTAATATCAAAAATGTACAACAATTCATCAAGTAAACATGTTGAACACACTGTAACAGGGTTGAATGAATGACGACATTTAATCAAGTTAAAATTGACTTTAATTAATTCATTAAAACAAACAATGAAATAAACAACACTAGATATATATTTAACATTGTTTAAAAATAACATCACATTTAGACTGAACAGATCTGTTTTAAGTGTAGAAAACGAATGACAGCATAGGCTGAATGTTGTATACAAAATCACTGGAATCAGTTTAACAATGTAACAACTGACATCACAACGAAGTTACATTCTTAACTATAACTGCTAATATTAAAATAATTGTATATGTGCTTGAATCTGTCATCTGTGCTATCAGCAGTAAAAAAAAATAGTACACGGCTCTAAAAAATGGGAATTGAGCGTTAACTAAACTCTGAATGAACGTGGATGGTTTCTTTTATCTGATCTGTTGTTCCTGCTATTTGTTGTTCGTTCATCCTTTAGTCAGTCAGTCTGTCCCAGATCTCCTTCTGAATTTGAATGTGATGTGAATCACGTACTGTCACGGGCTGAGGAGGCGGGATGAGCTGAAGAACATCATCAAATGGATACCACAGTACATCCTCTTGTAGAGGCCAAAATAATCTGTTTTTGGTTATCCCAGCATGGTCTGAAAAGATCATGTAAAAACATTTAGAGAAAGGGGATTGTCTGGCTTAAGTACAGTCCACCCTTCAACCCCGTAACAATGTTTCAACCCTGTAACAGTGGTTTTTGTTATGGGGTGGAATTTTATGGGGTTGAAGATTTCAGCTAAATTAGCCATAAGTCCACATTAGCTAGGATATGGAGTTGCACATGGCATGAGGAAAACAAGAAATTAATATATTTTTCCAAGATGGTTCTTTGATATTTCCCAAACAATAGTAAATATGATTTATGCATGTAACAGTGTTGAAAGGTTGAGCTTGACGATGACAATCTATGGATAAAAACAATGAAATATTGGAAGAAAGAATGCTAACACTTACCTCTCTTTACAGTGTGAAGGAGGAAAAGACTTGAGTGATGTCAGTTCCTGGGTGCTGTAGAAGTTGGACTGAACCATTATTTATTGTTGTCACATGCACACGTAAGCCAATAGCACGCCTAACAGACTCTTCAGGACACGCCCACAACAGACAGGAACATGCTTGTTAATTATGTTAATGGACTTAAAATTTGGTGAAGCCTAATTTAGCTGAAGCTAATTCCGCTAACGGTTTCCAAAGTTAGCGAAATCACTAAAACGAATTAGTTCTACTATTAGCTGTTAACGGATTAGCATACCTGTGCTCTCCACTGGACAGCCTTGTTCCCTTTCAGTCAGTGCACTCGGTGTAGTATGGGGAATTGCGCCCTCACGTGACCAACCTGAAGAAGTTTCTTTTAACACGTCTGTCACGGCCAATGAGATTGCTGCATTCACAGGAGGCCCCGCCCCCCTAGGTTATAAATATTCCGCATGGTCTCATGTCCCTTAATTAACAAGTAGTCAACAGACAAACTTTAGCTCATGTAACAAGTGAAATTAAGGGTGAAGAAGGATAAAACTTATTTCCTTCATCATTACATTTTATTTGCTCTCGAAAAATTAGAACCAGGTGTGTTTAAAGACCAATAAAGATTGAATACTTGAAGTTAATGATTAAAAGTTTGATAGGAATTATTTGGGTTTATATCCACGTAAGAGTTTAGGTAAAGTTTACCATTTGGAATAAATAGTTTACTTTTGGTCTTTGGATGGAAGATTATTAATTTAGCCAGATTGTCAGATTATTTAAATAACACTGAAAGTATGGAAGAGATGTGTATCAAGTTGCATCTTCTTAAAACATCACAACCACACCAGATATGCTCAACACCCTGTACAAGTCAAAAGTGCCTTATACAGCAGGACTCAGAACATATTAAAACACTTCAATGATTTCATAATAATAATTACTGCAAACAAAAATCAACATTTTTCATGTCTCAAATGTTTCATAATCAAATAAAGAAACTTTGTTTCATTATTTTTTTATTTTTCCAAAACAAAGAATGTGGGAGTTTTTATGATTCAACAGCTGACTAAGTGTCTGTGAGAGTAAAATAATCAGGAATGTTTTTTAGGTACGAACAAACAACGATTATGAAAAATGACCCGGGGTCATGGAAAAGAGTGCGTTCATCACACTCGGTATTCTTAAAATTGGTTTAGGTAAAGACATTTTTGTGTTTTCTAATTTGAGTTGGCCATTTGGACTTGGGTTGACTCCAAAAGTTTATCAGCTGTGGATGTACTTCCAAAGATTAATTTCTGAGAGTTTTGGTAAAATCCTTTTTATTGGTCAGGGTTAGACACATCTGGCTGCTTGTAGAAAAACAAACAAAAACTAAATACTGATGGATTTTATCTTCACTCAGGTGACAACCCCTAAGCCTCCAATAAAACATCGACAATAGTGCAAAACGAGAGACTAAAGAGATGAATAAATTCATCATCGAGCAGCGTTTGAGCAATTTTAATTTTATTTGTTCGTCACATTTCTACAAACATACCAACAACATATCTGATGATTGTGTGCACAGCAGAAAAATACAGCTTATACATCATTTTCACAACATTCCATGAAAATATCAAGTGACTGCAACAGAAAAGTGGCCCATTGTCTTTTCACACTTTATTTTAAACCAGAGTCCAGTTCTTTGCATCTTTTTGTGGTTTTACAATAAGGACTTTTACCTGAAAGGTTTAAAAAAGTTTTTGTTCCTCCTTTCAGGTTCAGTTGCTTCAGTGATTGGATCAGCTGTCTTCAGCCCATTATTGGTGAAAAATACTTGTGAAACAGCAGCACAAATATGATGGTTACCTTCGCCTCACGCTGATCACTGATAAACTCCAGTGACAGATGACTGAGCTAAAGAAACCTGCAAACCCTGCATCCATGCTGGGATCTCTGAAAAGGAAGGGATATGAGTCACACTTTATTTTCGGGATTGATCTTATCGTTGATAATTCCTCCCTTTTCTTTAATGTTCCCAAAGGAAAAAGAGAAAATGCCTCCAGCTGTCTCCTCTGACATTTTCCCATCTCTGAGCTCCCCTCTCAGCGTTCCCTGCTGGCAGTCGGCTGGGCTGCTGGGCAGCAGGTTGGGAGTGGACGGAGTCGGGGTGGTGGCTCCCCAGATGTACAACGTTTCCCCCTCGGGACACGGAGGGAGGCCCTGGCTCAGGTAGCTGGGGCTGGGACTGGCAGAGGACGGCAGGGTGCGCTGGCTTCCATTCAGCCAGCTGGAGGTGTGATCGGTGGAGCTTTTGCGCGAGTTTACGGAGGAGCTGAAGGTGGAGGACCGGTAGTTGTAGGCCCTCCAACCGGGACGTTTCTGCTGGTGACACTGACATCTGAGGATCCGAATGAAGGCCAGCTTGAACTCGCGGCTGTAGCAGGGGTAGATGATGGGGTTCAGGCAGCTGTTGAAGTATCCGAGCCAGAAGATTACTTTGAAGAGGACCTCAGGAGGTCGAAGGTTCACATTAAAAGACCCTGAGGACAGCAGAAAACAGAAGACGGACACGTTGAAGGACAATATTCAGTCATTATGTAGCCAGTTGCTTTAGAAATGTTAATTTCTTACACATTTCCTAATTGTAATACTTGTTTTTTTTTTTCATTTTTATTTGCTTTTCAAGTGAAAAATATCTGCATAATGTTAAGAAGCGCCCCTCCTTTCTGTAATTTTAGAAAAGTATTATTGCAAAGCATTTAAGAGTGTACACAAATGCAACAAATATTAGCTTCAAGTAGTCAAGGGTATAAAAGTCAAACAGCAGTTTGTGTCTTTTGCAATGATGTGACGTTTATGATACTAGATGAAGGTAACGTTCTGTTCAGCTCAAGCCCATTAACAAACTACAGAAACAATGGCTCCCCTCCATTGTCCCAGAGCTCTTATAATCATAATCTGTCTGTTAGCAAAATATCTCATTAACCGCTAGACACATTTGAATGAAAATCACAGTAAGTAATCACTAAATGTGCATCTACAACTGTTTAATGAGTTAAGTCAACCTGATTTAAGATAGCTGACACAGACAATCAAAATGAGAAAACCCTAAAATGTCTAATTCAGTCATTTTTACAAGACTTAAGCTAAAGTTTGGTGTAGTAGCAATCATCCACAATACATAATCAGAGCAAAACACGTTGCGCAAAATGTTTGATTAAAACATTGGCTTTAATTGTTGGCATCAACCCTGTCCGTGTGTTAGCAAAATACCTAAAAGATCACTGGGCAAATTTGAACAAAACTGCCAGCGAGTGCACAGGACAAAGCAGGTATTAAATGGATGGAGTGAGTTATACATGCAGGGATGAAGACCAAAACATTTCTTCTAAAGCTCAGATTAATGTGCTGAATCTCATTTGTCTAATGTGAGACTTTATAAATATAGAGACATTTGTGCCTTCACTGTTTAAAAAAAAAATAATTTTTGGGGTTGGTTGCCAGGCAACCAGCAGATGTTTTTGTTTCTGATTCCTTCTGATCAGGAGTTTGATGAAAACTAAGCCAAAGTTTTCACCTCTTAAATTCTCACACTTAACGTGCAGCAAGAGTGACAACAATCCTCTAATTCAATAATTAGATCCACAACTATTTTCCCCAGGGGACTTTTTGACATGACGGGCTAGAACGGACACAAAATCAATTGAATCCTGGGCACAGAATGTTAAACGCATAGCTCATGTAAAACATCACATCGTCTGCAAAACACAAAGAACAGGTTGCTTTGCATTCACACCACCATGTTGTTGTGGTTGTGGGAACATACAGTATTTATAAATGGAACCAATTATTTTCCAACTTTTGCTTTTTCATATCTAAGGTTTCTATCTTTCATTTAGTTAAAGTCACAAACTGTTCTGTTCTTATGCAACAAATAGCTGATAACTTATATTTACGTCATATTGATAGATACAACTTGTGTCACTCACTCTGCTGATATTAGTCAATGAGACTTCTAATTAAGGTCACTGCATCTTTTTACAACTGACTGCTTCTAGTTTTAGAGTTTTGACTGCAGATTACAATATGACCAGTAGATAGCAGCATTCATTAAAAAGATTATTCAGATTTAACTCTAGTAGTACTTTCTTTGAAAAAAAATCCCATTCACATAAATGGCCTTCAGAAACGGATCATATGCATAAAAAAATCCGGTCGAAGCTGATTTTATTTTAGAGAAATTTTATAAAATGACAAAGAAAAACTCCATGGACTTTATTTCCATACGCTTGGAGTTTTGTTGCTTTAAAACTATTGCTTTTAAGTAAAACCAAATCCCATTTAGTGAGAGGATATGGATATGAAGCCTGAACTTCCACAAGAAGCTTTCTCCTCTTCATTCAGGTAGTAATTAATCGATTTATGTAGAAAAGACTCACAAAGGTCGACGTTGTGTGTAAAACTCAACAAAACTGACTAAAATCAGGGACAAACCTGTGGAGCAGACAGACATCAGCCACAAAAACAATAAGGAACAAAGAGTAATGAGTTTTATATAAGCCCATTTGCATTAATCTGCAGTTGTGATCATTTTTGCCCATGAGCTTTAAAAAAAGAGGACATCTTAAAAGCTAAAGGAGGTGAAGAGACAAGAGCTCACAGACAGTAAAAAAAAAAAAAACAGGCCATTAATACGCACAGCAAGAGGGGGGATTAGTGTGAAACAAAGAAATAGTGTGTTTGAGTGCAGGCAGAAGTGAACAGTTCTTAAATTAAATCGACCCACGTTCTTCTGTTATTATTAAACTCCTGGAGAGACAGAGGATGCATCGTAATCTCAGGATTACAAGTGTGAAATTAGCTCTGTAAATGTGTAACAGACAGACAGGTAGACAGACAAACAGACAGATGCAGGACAGACAGACAGACAGATTCAGGACAGACAGACAGGTAGACAGGCAGACAGATGCAGGCCAGACAGACAGATGCAGAACAGACAGACAGACAGACAGACATTGTTTCAGTTTTTAAATCTGATTGACTTTTTGAACAATTCCTTCCAGGGGTGTAAGTTATACATTAGAGAGACATATTTTAATCTCAATAAAACGGTTTGCACCCCAATTTAAATTGACCTCAGTAGCTTCAGCACTCCTGAATGTGATGTGTGTGTGTGTGTGTGTGTGTGTGTGTGTGTGTGTGTGTGTGTGT